AAAAAAAAAAAAAAAAAAAAAAAAGTGGAGAGCTAGAGAAGGTCGTTCCTGCAGCTGTGTTCGGTCTATCAAGACTCTCCTATGCTCTCGGCCTGACTGGATCGGACCTCCTACCACTATACATGATGGGTCACAATAGGACCAAAGGGAACAATAAAGCTACAACTGTGTTGTAAATGAACATAAGAAACAGGGCTGTCTCTGGGATGGCAGGCTGGTGCTTGTGTTTGAGCTGGTCGGGGCTCAGATAGGCGCTGGTATATAGCTTAGAAGTCAAGGACAGAACGTGATATTGACATTTGCAGGTAAAGATTTACGTTGTATTTACTCATTGAGCATACACAAAGCAACATCAATATTCATTTCGAGTCATGTTTCTGGCCTCTTGATTGATCCCATTTTAGCTCCGTTTCCCTCTCCTCCAACATCTGAAGGGAGATATTTGTCTCTTTAGCTGCTAAATGCTCCACTATGTTCACCAGCTAGCTGCTCACTATGTCCATCTTTCTGCTGAGCAGGTAGCGTTCAGTGGATTCATCGGAGCTTTTCTTGATGAAAACCTGCTTGAGGTTGATGAGAGCTCGGAGCAGCCTCTGTCTCACAAGTAATATTTTAAACCATTGTTGATATGAAAATATTGATCATGGCAGCTTTAACTTGGTCTCTACGTGTCATCAGCCTTGAGATAATCACAGCAGATGACCTCAGTAGCAACACACTCTCTAAAAAGGGACGGATGTGACATTTTATCCTTAATTTCCGTGTTTCTCATCTAATTACTACATTTCCGTGGCGCTTTAAAGCATCCATCCACATAGGAAACAGGCTCTTTCTCCAAAGCAGGGAAATAATACGAGGATCATTTCTCGTGGTTCCAGATAATCAAACAGTCCTAGAGAGCGGCGGCGGTGGTTTAAAGTGTTCCAAACAAAAAGTATCCCCATTATTTAGCCATGTGTGGCTGATGACAATGTTGATGAAGATGATAATAATAAATGCCAAAGGTTCACTGAGAGTTTAGACACAAAGGTTATCATCATACTGAGCTCATGGTTTACACGCGTCAGCACACGGGTGACATCTTTGATTCCGCCGGGTTTCAGTGTAAACACCGAGAGGAAGACTTGACTGATGGAGAGGAGGGAGATCAGTCACGAGGGCCTTTAGAAAATGATTGTTCAAACGACACACTAACAGTTAGCATGTTGATACAGTGACTGATGAAAGACCAGTGCCACTTCAGTCCAGGGAAATGACATTATAACCCATTGCAGATTTCATTCTTTTGTTTTAGTTTTTATTTCGTTTCAGAATTACGCTTTTTAATTTGAGTGTAGTTTATAGTTTCATGTCCTCAGTACTGCTAAGGTAAGAGGACACAAGAGAAGTTCAGAATCTGCATTATGCAAAACATATGTGCTTCATTAAAACACACTAATTACCGGGTACAAAGAAATACAGCAGGATTTATTTCACTTATGTATTTTATACCTAACGTTTTAGTTTAGTTTGTTTTATCATCTCTTTTTTGGTCTCAGCAAAGAATAATGTTTATTAACCAGTAACTTGGGATTATGTTTGCATGTTTACAGTAATATAAGTTTGAGTGAAATGTAATCATTGCCAAAAGGCTTCCGATATGATACGGCCATGATGCAAAAACTGCACCGGGTACTGCAATTACATTTTGTTACAATTTCTTCCAAGTTCAAAGTGCGATGAAGCTTTTTTAAATCTGGTATCAAAGCCAAATAAGTTTAACTGACAGTACAATGGAAATATAAACTGCGCTATATGATAATACAACATGCTGCAGACAATTTTTCCTCCCAGCTTCACAGTCTCAACAGCACCAACGAGCCGGCCATTAAACGCTCATATCTGAGTAACATCAGACAGAGAACGAGGAGATCAACTGCTCATCAATTGTCATTGGATGCAAATACAAAAGCTGAGAGAAGTTCAATTCATGCACAACGCTAATACTAATATTACCATCAGACTAAACAGTGAAGGCTTTGTATTGAATGTGTTTTGGCTCTAGGCCAGTTCACCTCTCCCCTCCCTCTCCTCCACAGGAGTGGTGGTCCCTCCTCATCAAAGATTACAGTCATTTGTTTCTTCAGTTATTCTTCAGTGGCAAGAGAGAAGCCAGAAAATATTGATCTCATTGGCATGGAGGGAATGTCACACCAGATTTCATAAAAAAAGTAAAGATCTGGTAATATAAGAGTGCCTTGATCATTTACAAATGTGGCAACATTTTAGAACAAAATAAAGATTTTTTAATTTCTTCTTTTTGATGGACTCTCACCAAAACACAGCGGACAGCGCTGCGCTCAGATGCTCGTACACTCACCTCTTTAATGGCGGACATCTTGACGGTCTCGTAGTAGTGCAGAGGTGCATGCGGCGTGTTCATGTCGTAGCCGAAACCAGCCACCGCCACCTCATCACAGTTATGCAGTGCCATCGTTATAGCAACTGTTCCCAAAGTTGGAATGTTCTGTAGTTACAGAAACAGAGATGCAGGCGGTCAGAACATCACAGCGCGCACACACACACACACACACACACACACACACACACACACACACACACACACACACACACACACACGGAGCAACTGTTGATTAAATGTATTTATACTAACGCAGGGGTTCATGTTGACGAAAGCATGTGCAGTGTCATCGTTTTCAGACAATTTTGAAACCGATCATAATTTCTGACACAAGTTCAGAGAACACATGTCTGATCCCTCTCATGTATCTGCTTCCCTCCCTCCTCTTGTACCCCCCGTCTTTGTTCTGCTCCACCGCTGCTAACTGACTTTGAGCACTTGATGATTAACTATTACGCGACCCCTGCTACGACACCGTGATCCACAGGGTTGAACTGTGCTTCCTAACCGCCTAGAGCAGCCAGAGATCTGGGGGGTACAGGGGCTGTGTGTGGATGTTGGAGAACAAGAGAGAGGGTGGGGGGGGGGGGGGGGGGGGGGTGTTGGGAAAAAAAGTGGGTGCAGAAGAAAGAGCGGAGGGAGGCCCCATTTAAATCATTACCCTGATTTGCAGCCCTCAGGGTAGGTGGAGCTGAGCCAGCAGCTGGCCAGCCCCCTACTGCGTGTTCTAATACAGATTAATTTACACACACGTTCACAAAACACACTCAACATAAACACTAGGATAACAAATAGGCCTCCTCATTAATTTCCACGTACATAAACATAAACTATGATGGTCAGAAGATAGACAGGAAAGTGTTCTGGGGAAAGAATGTGCCAAATCATACAACTCGGCAGCCTGGATTGTATGAGACAGCACTACAAACACCCAGACACAAACGTGCACACACAAATGGCCAACACACACACACACACACACACACACACACACACACACACACACACACCAGATGCCCACATGTTGAACACATGTTGCAGAGTTGAGTTCATGCAGGGGTGTTCTGGTGGCCCCAGAGGGCAGAGCTATGGTGATGCACTCTTCATGTCCTCTCCAATTCTCTAACAATATTCCTCTTTACGTACCAAAAAAACTCCCAACTTAATAATACATGAATACAAACACCGTTACTTTATATTGGTCTGCCTTGTACTCCGTCTGCTGGTCACCAACTGAAATGTGCTCATTTTATTTCTCCAACCAAATGTTCTCTGGTTAAGACCTGATTGAGCAGATTGTTCCACGAGCAAAGCACAAACATCAACTTCTACCGTTGATTAAAAACAATAGAGCGCTGTAGAACGCAGACTGGATCAGGGTTGCAGCAGGTTTTCAACATTTAACAATTGTTTTGTATTTCCTCTTAACCTAATTTCATTCTCCCTCTTCTATTTTAAAGATGGCGGTTGAACAGACATTTCGTGGTTAGAAACCTCGTCCAGCAACTAAAATTGAAGTACAAACGCACTAAAAAGTGAAATACAACTGAGGAACAGATCCTGTACATCTTGACAAAAAGTAAATTCAAATTCAGTAGCTTTGGTACATACCTGATAAAAATGAATGCCTCAAGAAACATTTTGTATTTTTCCTTCCACCAATTATTTAAAAAGATAAATGTGCAATTTCAGGGCTGTCGTGATACAACCTTGGCTCCAGAGTAATATTGATCATATTGATTATTCCAGCACGATGTCTGTGCAGTGTGTAGAATATAAATGTAAAATACTTGTTCAGTGCAGCATACAGATTTCTCCATCCGGTTGGTTCCCTTGAAAAACACAATCCAATTTCTGGGAGTGTGCCTTTTTCATGATTTTGTGACATTGATGCCTGCAGGCGTCTTACCCCTTTGCCCATGAGGCCATTGTTGAAGGGCAGGCCTATGAACTGGAAGGCAGCCTCCTGGATGAAGTACGGATTGAGGATTCTCATCTCTGTGGGCTCCCGAGGCACATAGCGAGCCACCGACTTCCAAAAGCCTTCCGTACCCCTCTGAAGCATTGGCGAGGAAATGGACAGTAACATGGGGGGGGGGAAGGAAATTGTGAATTAGTCGTCGTCAACATAAATACTGGACTTTTTCTCTGCAAGGCCAGAGTCATGTGCATAAAACACAAAACTAGCATTCACATGATGCCACCGCTATGGTGGACAGCCAACTGCAATTTACCAACCCAACATCAAAGGGAGATTATCCTCTGTAACACTGACATAAAACACAGAAGCCAACCAGAAGCCAGACCCCTACTAGCATTGATTAGGGAAATGGCTTTGGGCCTTTAATGGATGAAGTCAGGGTGAGGGGCTGGCAGGACATCAGTAATTACAACTCCTGGTAGGAAGAGAATCAAGCAGTGGGTGAGGGGTGAAGCTGCCCTGGAGTGCTGAGAACTTTACAGTCCGCCTCTTAGAGGTTTCATTAGTTGCAGTGGAAAAGGTTGGGGGCTGATTAATATGAAGGATCTTATTATTCCAGCACAATATTGTTATTACATTAATTTGTCTCCATTTTAGGAAACAAAGTTGTTCCAAATGCATCTCAAAACACATTTTTACTTTTTCCAGGGGTGCAACTTTTTGTCTGTAAAAGCCCAAATGTGTTTGCCTCTGGGCCATTCTAACGTTATGATTCCATCATACACACCGATCCTAATTATTGCACGTCTTAATGAACTTGGGGAATCAAACACTGAAAAATGTTTTCCTTCAACAGAAATTAATAAGATATAAGAAAAGACAAATCCGTTGACAGGCCTCAAACATATCTAACGTATGTTTTACTGTATA